ATGAAATTTGATTATTCAATTAGCATTCGTGACAGAGCTAATCCTTTATATGTAAATTTTGAATTAAATTGACAAAATATAGTAGCCGATAAGGTTTGATCCATGATGAGTTTAGATTCTATATACGTAAATGTTTAATTCATTCTCATTTAAATTTCTGACTACGCCACCGTATGTACGAAGCAAGTTCTTATACATTTTAAATCAATTTCGGTCTACCAATTTAGTATACGCAATACAATGAAAAAGGTTTATACGTTGATATTTGATACAGTTCTTTCTGTACGTTTTGTTAACGTATTATTGCTAGCCTTGCCTAAACCAATGGAACAGTTATTTTCTGCAATACCATGGGCAAGGAAAAAGAGAGAACTTAGAAAAGGGAATCTCAAAATCTTTGCTTCAAAGCGATGAAAATTAATTATGAATATATACTATATTAAATTGATTTATGTTGATTTCTGATTCACATTCCAATCTCTGGATACAGCCCAAGCAGAGGACTCATCTAATTCACAGGCGATCCCTACGGCGGCGGCAGCCTCGCCGGCTTCCACGGAGTCTGGCGGCGGCGAGGGAGGTGAAAGGAGGAGGAGATACAGAGGAGTGAGGCAGAGACCGTGGGGGAAATGGGCGGCGGAGATAAGAGACCCGCACAAGGCGGCGAGGGTCTGGCTGGGGACATTCGACACGGCGGAGGCCGCAGCCAGAGCATACGACGAGGCCGCCCTCCGATTCAGGGGAAGCAGAGCCAAGCTCAATTTCCCGGAAAACGCCCGCCTTCTCCAGCCGCCAATGCTGAATGTCAATGTCCCATCCGCCGCCACCGCGCGCCAAATCATTCCTCGCCTCAATCCTGCTCCGCCGCCGCAGCCGTCCGCTCAATTCCGTGGATTTGCTCAGGCACCGGCGGCGGCGCGGCCTCAGCAGCAGGCGGATTTGGTGAGGGATTACTGGCAATACTCCCAGTTACTGCAGAGTTCCTCCACCGCTGGCGGCCGTGGCGGTGGATTTCAGCAGCAGCAGCAGCCATCGACGCTATTAGAACAGTTGCTATACATCTCGCAGGTTCCACCGGCTCTGCCGTTCGCTTCATTGCCGTCGACGACTTCTCCACCGTCGGTTCGCGCTCAATCTCCTTCTCCTTCTTCTTCCTCCTCTGCTTCATTTCCCCGGCTTTTCGCGGGTGAGCAGCAATCCGGTTATTACCGGCCGCAACAGAGCCAGAATCCGAATCCAAGTCAGACGCCGACCGCCGGGTCGGATTTCCCGGTGCCGCCGTGGTCGCATTCTAGTCCTTACCCGCCGTCTACCGGTTGATTTTCAAAAAACAGTTTGGTTTCCTATATACAGTTTCCCCTTTTCTTTTGAGGTGGAAAATTTTAGTATATTCATATAGTTGGATTTTCTTTTGTTTTTGCAGTGAATTTTTTTTTTTTTAATTTGATAGTAATTCTTTTCTACAGTTGAGGCTATACAAAAGGATAAGCTGGTAGGATTATTATATTACGTTTTGTATAAAGAAAAGAAGCAGACAGATATATCATATATTATATGAATTGGATTTTTTAATAGGAGTTTGCATCATATATTGAGATGGGTACGTTTCATTCTTGAAGATTTCCGTGGCTTTGTGGTGGGGATTTTAACGAGATTTTAACTGCTGATGAGAAGAGGGGAGGAGCTGTTCCATCGGAGGCAGACATGGTGCTATTTAATGATTGTCTAACGGACACGGGTTTGATGGACCTGGGGTACCAAGGCCATAAGTTTACATGGGAGAATAGAAGGAAAAATGAGTCGTATATTGAGGAACGACTAGACAGGTATGTGGGTACGGAGCTTTGGAAGGAAAAATTTGACCGTGCTAGAATCAAAACCCTTGATAAAGCTCGATCGGACCATAGACCCATTGTGTGCGACACTATGGGGGAGGAAGATGATGAACCAGTATGGGGGTGGAGCTTCAGGTTCGACCCTTTCTGGGCGAATCACAGCGATTGCAAGAAGGTAGTAGAGGAGGCGTGGCTGGAGCAAGGTGGAGCAGGGATTATGGACCGAATAAATTCTTGCCGCGGGAAACTGGAAGAGTGGAGCACAGAAACCTTTCCAAACTTTAAGCGCCAGAAGACTCGTATAAGAAGGGCATTGCGCAAGCTGGAAAAGATGCAGCCGACGCAAAGGGTTCTGGAACAAAAATGGAAACTGGAAGAAGAGTTCGCTGATGTTGAGAATGATGAGGAGAGCTATTGGCAGCAGAGGTCTCGGGCTGATTGGCTTCGTGGGGGGGATAAAAACACAAATTTTTTCCATAAGAAGGCCTCGGCCCGGAGGAAAAGAAACACGATTCGGAAGCTATGTGATGAGTCGGGGAGATGGTTTAGTGGGACGGAGCAACTATTCGCCTGCCTAAATCAGTACTATTCGGACCTGTTTATGGCGGGAGTAGCCCCATCCTCTTCTCCAGTCCTGGACGCCATCCAGTGTAGGGTAACAAACGAGGATAATGAAGCGCTACTAAAGGATGTTGAGGGGGAGGAGGTGGTAGCGGCCCTGAAGCAGATGGGTCAACGCAAAGCCCCGGGTTGCGATGGTCTGTCGGTGATGTTCTTTCGGAAGTACTGGGAGATCGTTGGAGAAGAGGTTATTGCGACGGTGAAGGGGGTTATTGAGCAGGGGGTGATGCCGAGTCAGCTGAATCACACATTAATCGCTTTAATCCCGAAAATCAAATCCCCGATCAAGCCGAAGGAATTTAGACCAATCAGTCTCTGTAATGTGGTGTATAAACTGGTGGCTAAGGTTCTCGCCAACCGACTGAAGCAGGTAATGGACAAGGTCATTTCAGCGGAGCAGAGTGCTTTTGTTCCGGGTCGTTTTATTTCAGATAATGTCATGGCAGCTTTTGAATGCTTCCATACAATGAAGAAGAAGAAGAATAAGAATGGTCCTGGTTATTTTGCGGCTAAAATCGATATGGCGAAGGCCTACGACAGGGTAGAGTGGCGCTTCTTGGCAGGAGTAATGAGGAAATTGGGGTTTGCTGAGGCATGGGTTAATACGATAATGTTGTGTGTGAGTTCAGTCTCTTATTCGGTGCTTGTAAATGGCCATCAGTCGCCGGTGTTCATCCCCAGCCGAGGGCTTCGTCAAGGAGACCCGTTGTCTCCCTATTTATTTCTGTTGTGTGCGGAAGGACTATCAGCGTCCACAGCGTTGGCGGTTAGGGAAAAGAGGTTACATGGCATTCAACCAGCTCAAGGAGCGCCAGTCATCTCTCACCTATTCTTCGCGGACGACAGCATCTTCTTTGCCAGGGCTACTGTTCAGGAAAGCATGGTGCTGAGATCCATTTTGCAGGACTATGAGAAGGAGTCAGGACAGATGGTGAGTTTCGAGAAGTCGGAGGTATCGTTCAGTCCAAACGTGTCATTCCATAAGAGCCTTGAAGTTGCTGGTGTTCTCGGCATGACCAAAGTTGAAAAGCACAATAAGTATTTGGGCTTAGCAACTGAGGCTGGACGATCGAAGAAAGTGTTGTTTGAGGAGTTAAAAGAGAGAACGAGGAAGAAGCTAAATGGGTGGAAAGAGCGTACTCTGTCTGTTGCAGCGAGGGAGGTCCTGATAAAATCTGTTGCACAGGCTCAACTCACCTACGCAATGTCGGTATTCAGCATTCCGGAGGGAGTGATTGATGAAGTACATAGCATGATTATGAATTTCTGGTGGGGACAGAAGGTGACTGAAAGGCGGACGCATGGTATCCGTAGGGAGGAGATGGTTATCCCGAAGAAGTCTGGCGGGATGGGGTTCCGGGATCTCAAAGGGTTTAATGAAGCCCTCCTGGCGAAACAGTTGTGGAATTTGTTGAAGAGGCCCCATTCGCTGATTGCGAGGATTTTCAGAGCAAAGTATCATAAACATTCCTCTATTCTCGATGCCAAGGTGGGTTACAATCCCAGCTACGTCTGGCGCAGTTTAATGGGAGCCTTGGAGCTTCTGAACAGCGGGCTGCGGTGGAGAGTAGGGAACGGGGTGGATATAAGGATATGGGGTGATAAATGGATCCCCGGGGCTGATCATCATTATGTTGATTCGCCGCCAATTGGACTTCCTGTTGATGCTAATGTTAGGGAGTTGATTGATCCCGAAACTGAGACATGGGATGCAAATTTGGTGGAGAGCTGCTTCTCCGAAACGACCGCACAAGCCATCCTGCAGATCCCGATCCGTGGGAATGGGGAGGTGGACACCATTATATGGCATAAAAGCAAAACAGGGGACTATTCGGTAAAGGCAGGGTATCAGCAATGGTTACAAGGTTTCATGAGTAGAAATGGGCTTGTGGAAGTTGGAGAGGAAAGGTTATGGAAGAAGTTGTGGGCTATGGAAGTTCCACCAAAGGTACGACAGTTTATGTGGAAATTTACTAGGGAGATCTTGCCGACGGGGGCTTTTGTTAATCGTCGAAACCCACGGATTGGGATCAGTGCTCCTTCTGCGGTGAGATTGAAACCCAGCAGCATCTCTTTATTGAATGTGCCTGGACCTCGCGAATCTGGAGAAGAACGGAAATGAAAGCTCTGTTTGAGCTCCGAGGCTCTGAAGCTTGGATGGAGTGGGTTTTGAAGGTGTTGGAAACAGGGGAGGAGGAGATGGTGGAGGGATGGTGTGTTTTGTTATGGTATCTCTGGAAGGAGCGTAACGCCCATTTGTTTAATGGTGCCAAATTGCCCGAGGAGGAGATCCCAATCCGCGCCAGCAACCTGCACGTCGAGTATAAGCAGCGCCAGCAAAGAGAAGAGGAGGTGGCTCCCCCGCCGCGAATCCAGAAGTGGAGGAAACCAGATAGGGGCAAGGTCTCCATTTGTACCGACGCGGGTGTTTTTGATTCGGGTGGCATTGGGCTCGGGGTGGTGGCCAGGGATGGGGATGGAAGTTTTTTGTTTGCAGCGGCGAAGAGAGTGCCTGGGGAGTGGAGGCCGGAATTAGCTGAGGCTATGGCAGCTGAGTTCGGGGTCCAAATGGCGGCCCAACTCCATTTCACTGATATGGTACTGGAATCGGATTGCTTGACGCTGATACAGAAGCTACATAACCCAGCGCGGCAGCAGGATGAACTTGGTGTTCTTGGACGCAGCATCCGACGATTGCTACAGGAGACAGGGCGGGGGGAGTGGAAACATATTTGTCGAGAAGCAAATGAAGCGGCGCACGTCATGGCTCATGCATACACAGGGTGGAATGAGCGTGTAGTTTGGGTGGACAGGCCACCAAATTTTCTTTTGGATCAACTGTTGCAGGATAATGTAACGACCTCACTTGATTAATAATATTCCCTCAGGTTTCAGTCAAAAAAAAAAAAAAAAAATTCTTGAAGATTTGCTTGATGTCAACATTATCCATTATGGATCCATGATTTTTTTATGGCTTCTCAATTGACCTACTTGTCAAAAAAAAAAATATATTTTGACCTACTTGCATGGTTATTAACCCCGGGCTGACCGATCGGTCAAAACCAGATTGGACCAGATATCTTCACTGGGGAACGACGAGGCAGTAGATAGTTGGTCTGGACCTGGTCAAAGTCAAATAATTCTAGTGGAGTTTGCATAAATCACTAGGGGGTCGTTTGCTTGAGGGTTTTGGTGATGGATTTGGTCATGGAAATATATCCATCATGGACTTGAACCGAAATCCATCGTTTGCCTTAGGGAATTAGGGAGATGGAATTTGTGGGGCCCACCACTTTTGGGGTTCCAAATCCGTGGACCCCACGGACTTGGAAGTTCCACCTCTTGAGGTGGGATTTGGGTGATGGATTAAAATCCATGATGGTAAATTACCTTTCTACCCTTAATTATTTCTTTAATTACAAATTTGTCCTACTTTAATTCAATGGTCATGCAACTGTAAACTTTTATAATTTCGTATTTTATAAATATGAGAATTTATCATTTCATTTTGTAATATCGTATTTTATTTAAATATGAATGTATATGTGATTTGTTAGATTCACCTAGAAACACTTTTATGCTTATCTTGTACATTATTATTTGATTGATTGTCGGATTCCATATCGGTGAGTTAGCAAGAAGATGATGAGTTGTAGCAATAAAGCGAGCAATTGGCTGCAATTGATACATAATATTGCGTACATTATTAGATGAATTGTTTTTTTATGAAGGATTATTAGATGAATTTTTAATTAGTGCCAAGATGAATTGTTAATTAGTGCCAAATTGTTATACATTTCTATATTTGTAGTTGAATTATTAATCCACATAGTGGTAAAGAGTTTAAATTTTTTTTCTATGTTTTGGATTAGTTTTAAATGAAAGATTTGGATTATAATATAGAAATATAATTAAATAAGGGTAACTAGGTAATTTATATTTAATATCCACAAATCTAATCAAACAAAGTCCATAATCAAATCCATCAAGCAAACAATAGACTTGTTCAAATTCATAATGCCACCAAATCCATCATATATCCATGGTTTTCCAAAACCCAGGTTTTACCAAAACCCTCATTTTTCAAATCCATGAAGCAAACGACCCGTAGGTTTTATTGACCTACGAATCCCTGGTTAACATTTTAAAATTGAATTGGAAATTTAAAATAAGGCTTCCAAGATTCAAATTTGCGTAGCCAGTGTATGGAACTTCTTGTAAATTATATAGAAACGTAGATATCATGCTCATACGTTTTCGTTACTCTTTATAATTGACAGATAAAATAGATGAAGGTTTAGATATCTTATTTATACTTTTCCATCACTCTTTATGATTGGTAGATAAAAAGTGTAAAATGAACACATGATAAAACTGCATAGTTTTGGTTTGATTGTATTACATGCATATTACGATTGTAGTGAATTATTAAAAAAAATGTAATCACGTGTTTATACCGATCTAATTCAACGATTAAGTTTGTGAATCTAACTTTTAGTTATCTATTTTACTTTATAACTGTTCGATTGATTGAATTTTTGAATTAAATAACGTTCTATTAAGCTTGTGAATCTAACTTTTAGTTATCTAGTTTATTTTCTAAATATTCGATTGATTGATTTTTTGAATTAGATAACCGTTCCATATTATCTTTGATGAGTCTAGTGGGATGTATTTTTTAATTAATTTATAGTAATCAACTGCTTAGGATTTGTCAAGTTGATGGCGAGGTTTAAGCTATCATGAATCCATGATTACGGGTGCTGACAAAAAAGAATTTTATTCAAATGGGCAACTGTGGATTAGCTGGGGGTTTATTGCAGTGTGGTGTATTATGTATTCTCAATCTGTGGGAACTATCCCTACCTAGGGTTGTCCATTCGGGTTCGGTTTTTCGGGTTTACCCGAAACCGACCCGATTATATACATTTTCGGTTTTTTGGGTTCGGGTTCGTTTCGGGTTTCGCGTTTTCGGTTTCGGGTTCGGTTTTGCTTATCGGTTTTTCGGGTTCCGGATAAAAATCTCCAATGAATAGAACTCAGCCCGTATTTTTAAGTGTTCGGGTTTTTGGGTTTCGGTTTTGCTTTAACCGAACCCAAACCCGATAAGGAATTTTCGGGTTTCAGTTGGGTTTCGGTCGCAAGTCCTTATCGGGTTCGTGTTCGATTTTGGTGATTTTCGGTTTCGGGTTTTTTCGAGTTTCGGTTTGGGTAACCGAACCCGAACCGAACCGACACCCCTCCCTACCAAACGAAACAATTGTGGGACTCGAAGCTTTGAGAATAGATTAATGCATTTAGGAATGAGAAAATCCTTTCCAAAAAGGCAAAAGTGTAAGGACTGGAGGAGAACATAATTTTGTCTATTCTATACATCTGTCAATTAAAAATATATGATTTATTTGTGATTGCATGTCACTCTTTCGTACAATTGAAATTGGGCTAGACTCGTGTATGAAAAAACTTGTCTAACCCATTTCAGATTATAGAGTCAATTTATAAAATCGGTTTGTCCTTGTATTCTACTCAATCTAACTTGTTCGGGCCAGGTCGAGCTAGTTGATCGACTCAAATCAATGAACAACTGGAATGCATTGTGGATTGAATTTTTTTCTTACAATTTAGTATCTATTTTTTGAAAAAACAGGTACATAAATTTTGGTGGTAAAATTATATTTTAGTACCTTCATGTTTTTCCTTGCATTATAGTACCTGGACTTTTAAAACTTTACAAACAGGTCAAATCTGTAGATATAAGAAATTTCTAATCACTAGATATTGCTATTGGTTGTAGTATCGTAGAGCAAAAAATGCCCCACCCTAAGTTACCAAACCCTACTCCACCTTACAAGGCCAAAACATGATAACTCTAAATTGGTTATGTATACAAACTTACCAAACTCGATCCATGGTCAAGTCTGATGGGGTCAATGGATATATAGGAACAGGCTTGTAGCCTACCCTTTGAGGCTACTGTAAATTGTGATAATCCTTTATTTTCCGATCTGGAATACCACCAAACTTCTTTTGTGGGGTTATATTAGTCAGCAGATCATTGTATTTTTAATTGTGTCATATTTCGTAAACTTGTTCTGTGTCAATTTGGTGGGTTCATTATGGGTTTGATTGTGTTACATGTTAGTCAAATTGCGAATCAAACAAGTTATGGGTCATTCAGTTTCGTCTTTATCATATCACTGGTTATTTAGGTGAGAGTCCAACCGGGTTGCAGGTCATTCGGGTTACGGATTAGCAAGGGTCGGGTTTAATTGGGTTACGAGCAAGTCGTATTCATCAGGTTGTAGGGCCAACCAGATTATGGGTTCATTAGGTTACGGGTAGTCGGGTTATGAGTTGATCAGGTTGCGGGTAGTCGCGTTATGAATTGATCGGGATGCGAGTTATTCGGTTTACTAATCAATATTTCTCCTACATGAAAGTTCAAGATTCATATTTAAAAGCCAAAATTTTTTTTACACAAATTCAAGTCTTTTCAACCGTGTCATCCATAAAAGAGAAGAGAACGATAGCTTGCCCTCAACAAATATACAGAATTGAAATTCCCACCGTACTGGCAAGTTCTTCCCATTGAGCTGAGCAGATACCCAATCCTTAGAGGTTTGTCACGGGACGAGACTTCCGAAACCCGTGTGGCGTTTGGAGGTGCACTCAACCAACAAGACCAGCCTCTCTACATACGCATACCAACTGGTTTTTGCCCTGCCTTGGGCTCATCGGGGAGGCAATAATAGCCCCCAAACAGTTGTGCCTTCGCTTGCAATGATCCCCGTCATAGTCACATCCTGACTCGACCAAAACAATTCATAGGCAGTCAACGCCTTATCGATAGAGTCACCCTCTTTACCCCTCTTGTGGCAAGCTAACCAGAAGGCACACGTTTTTTTGACGGTCAACATGGTCATGACATTCCGGGTCGTGACATTCTACACCTCTCATAATGCAGCACGTCCTCGTGCTGGTGAAGAATGCTTCTCTCTGCACCATGTATTGCAACGCTCGAACCCATCGTGGGCCTTCGCATACGTACCATCCTCTGATTGACAGGCTCCATTCGCATCTCTCGCGCTAGCCTGTTGTGCATCGCGCACATACCACGTCATCACTCGACACTAATTTTCACTCTTCGCTTCTGCGGCGCCAGTACCTCGGTCGAACTTCACCCTACACTCCTCCCAATGTTAGTAACTCAATCGACCTTCACCCTACGCTATTGCTAGCGTTAGTTCCTCGGTTGAACGACATTCGCTCGGCCGTTGCATCCTCCGCATGTCAAGGTCCCCCATAATTGCGCAACACAAATGTATATGCGTCCGAACCGCCTGATGCACACCCATGACCGTCTCTCATTCCGACATAGGATCAACTCATACTCGACCAACGCCGTCCTGAGAGAGGAACTAGGCTCTTCAGCCTAACCAGACTCTAATACCACTTGTCACGGGACGAGACTTCCAAAGCTCGTGCATCTTCTTGAGCTGCACTCAACGCTCAAGACCAACCTCTCCATATACGTATGCCAACTGGTTTTGCCCTGCCTTAGGCTCATCAAGGAGGCGGAAATAGTCCTCGACCAGTTGTGCTTTCTCTTGCAACGATCCGTGTCATAGTCATATCTTGTCTCGACCAAAATAATGCACAGGCAGACAACGCCTTATCGCTAGATTCTCCCCCTTTATCCCTCGTGTGGCAAGCTTACTAGAAGGCACGTTCTTCAGACGGTCAACACGGTCACGACATTCCGGGTCATGACATTCTCCATCACTCATAATGCAACACGTCCTTGTGCTGATGAAGAATGCTTCTCTCCGCACAATGTATTGCAATGCTCGAACCGATCGTGGGCCTTCGCTTAT